GGGCTTATCATCATATTCACTGCATACTTAGTCCATATCTTTCTATTCTAATAATACTGTAATCTATTTAATGTATATCTAATGGGATGAATCCATTAAATCTTCATTATGATATACTATCAAAAATACCAATCGATAAGGATAAGCTGTCCCTCATAGACAAATATATGATTAACGATTTTACTCGTTGAGTAAATGGCAATAATCGAATCTAATGTGGATGTCAACAGCAGTACAACCTACTGCCCTAGGGTCATCAGAGATTCCCAGCATATACCTCTGCTCACTAAAACTGCGTGGTCATGGGAAATATTCAAGGTTACTGTCGGGATCATTCATACAAATGCGGAGGAAACTCCTAAGAGTCTATTATCATTCACTCCCAGTAGATGGCAGACTATTAACCCCACTGCATTGCCATCATCACTACTATACCCTGCTCAAGCATGGGAGTGCTTTTATGCTGTCCGTCATGGCATGTTGTCTACTGTAGACTACCTTTCCGTATCGGTTGATATTAATTTAAAGGGAGGACGAGTGATCGACGCGGAGAAACCAGAGGTCGTCTATTCCGGTCTGATTGGTAACCTTGAGAGGGTATGTGAGGTGATGAGGAAGATGCCAAAGGTACTACCACGATTGGAGGTCTCTATCGATGTATCCTATACCCCCTTCCAATATGCAACTAAGCTATGCTACTTCGTTGCAAGGTTGATTATGGGAATTGCCAGACTGCGTGATCGGCAGCAGAAGAGACACGATGGATGGTATGATATCTCTATTGAGATATCGTTATTAAAGATGTCTAAGTGTGGTATAACTGCACAACATCTCACTCATCCATTACGTATTGATCCTAGTTGGTTCCCCACAACATCAGCTTCACTAGTCGTGGCCAGGTGGGATCTGTACGACAATGCGATTCGATCAGAGGATGCGATGCTCGATGACATAGAAGCTCCATCACTATTCACTACTCTTAAAAGCGTGTGCAAGTCCATAACTGAGATAGACGTCAACGGCAATCCTCCAGGATGCAATGAACTCTTCCTACCCTTCAATGGTGCTAAGATTATTCACAACATACTTCAGCAAGGCCTGCCTGATCATCATCATCCTGTCCAGAAAAGGCCACCACCACCTCACCATCGTCGATCAGCAGGGGAGTGGGAGGTCATCCTCACTAGGCTCTTGTCGAGTATTATCAACGATGCTCTGAATAAGGTTTCGGGGAGGAGGATGAAGGACAGGAAGCCCTACATAAGGGTAAGTGTAAGCATGGTTATTCCGCTGAACCTTCCGACAGGTATTCGGATCAGCTCTTAGTGGATTCTCATTGTCCAGTGAGGAAAGTGATGTGGACGCGGTCGTACTCCTAGAAGGGGAAGAAAAGTTCTCAGAAGGAATCCTCGAGGAAGGATCGTAAGCGGCGCCCTTGTTACTATTAATGATCGATTTATCAATAGCAGATCGTCCCCTTGGTATGGACTCTCGAGAGCTTTCGTAAGAAGTCTTGGTAGAATTTTACCCTCACAAACAAGTATATATTCGAGACAAACGTCCTGTATTTATAGTATCAAGGTGGGTACTTGGGTAGTACGACGATGATGATTGGACAGCAGTTATGTTATTGCAGTTGATGGAATCGATACCCGATGCTAGAGTACCCATAGTAAAGCTGAAATTAATGATCTCTAATAATTCCATGGAGGAAAAGGTGGAGGTCGACTTGTCCTTTATGAACCCACTTGGTGTGAAGAACTCGGAATTACTACGAGAATACGGCAAGTAGCGCTGATCCTTCGTAACAGCTCGTGGTCTCGGTGGTCTCATTTATTTCAAGGTTACATCCATGCGTCATTCCAGTGGTGTGCGCAGTGAAGGCTTGGGCGAAACAGAAGGGTCTAGTCTCAGCCAAGGAGAACAACTTCCAACGACTCACCTCATATGCTTGGACGATGATGGTCATCTTTTACCTTCAAGTTCGAGTCGGCCTTGTCCCCAGCCTCCAACGTCCATCGTTTGCCACTTACGATCCCTCGATCCAGTCACCGACCTTTTTCATAAGTGAGCTCCACGAGTCCTTTGCTAGTTGGTGTTATTTCTACAGATGCTGATGATGATGATCTTAAAATGGCCATTTCCAAGGGGAAGGTTTGCCCGAATTACAATAACTACCGCTTAGAAGATGCCGACAAACTCACACGAGGCTTTTTTAATTTCTACGGTCTCGGAGAGTTCCTATACTTGACGCCCGTTGACATCACCAGAGGAGCGATATCCCCACAACCGACTCCTAAACAGCGTCGTGAAATACGCGAGGCGTTGAGGACCAATCGCTTCAAGCCGAAGCTCGTCATCAGAGACCCCTTCCTCCGCAACAAAAACTTGGCATCGAACTGCTCACACTGGGTAGGCTGAGTATGCAACGATCAGTCATTGTTTGTACTTTCAGAATGTGGTTTATCGAGCCATTCGTGACGTGTCACTTACGCACAGATAGAATCTGTATATCACCGATTTGCGTTGCTGTTGTTGTTATGAATGCGCTAATGTAATACAGAGTTTTATATTCCCATATCGAATGAGTGTTGTGTGGAGACGAGTGAGGTGGCAGTCTCGATAATCTGGCGGTTCTGAGAAAGAAAGATTTCTCATGATGAGCCTTATCGTGACGCATGGAGAACTCGGCACTGGCCCTGGGCCACTGGGTGATGTTATTTCTCCGAGCTAGAGATATGAGTTCCTGGGTGAATGAAACCATCCTTCAGAGATTCATTTGCCGCTTCTATGTGATTGATCGTGCTCGAAAAAGGCGGTGCTGCGATACCCTCGTATCGAGTTTGGCTTTAGTCCAGGGTGTCCAGTATTGACCCTGCACCATCGGGGTCTGCGCCGTCGTCGCATAACGGCTAATGAAGTGAGTGGTTCAACATATCTACGATGCCTGGAGTTATATCGACGAGACGGACTACTACATGTAACACAGATTTGGAGATGGACGTCACTGCTGCAGTACCAGAAACTAAGCCACTATTGGTACAGACCAATTAGAGCCTTTGAGAAACATCTTGATGATCCTTTGGAGATTCAATGAAACTGCATGATGTAACGTGAGAGTTTCACGTGAGACTATCAACAATTAGTATATGGTCGTTAATGCGCCCAGCCTGAACAACTGAGCAAGTGGCAACCGGAGGATATCACCCTTCAGAAGTCATCGGAGGTCACAATGTGACCGTGACATGATAGATCTCCCATTGGGGTTGGGATTCTTGATCCTACACGTATACTGTTGCCTTCATCTCTCGACATGAAAGTCAAACGTGCCATCGGGTGACAAGTGGCATTTCTCACAGTCTTCGACTATCAGTCAGTTTCCAGTAGCGAATCACACGTCAGTTTCATGACGCCCAGTCATACCGTATGGCCCATTCTTCAAGGTCATGCCATTTCGCATCACTTGTTCAATAAGTAATGAGAGATCGCAGCCTGCGACTCGCAGTTTCTTATCTCTCATATTCCAGAGGTATGGTTCAGCTATCTCTTTTCATCGGGCAGCGGAACAGGAATCTGTTCGTTTTCGATGAGTTCGGATAGTATTCAGACAAGTAGAGGCAATTGCTCTTTTTTGGAGTCGTCAAGAACAGAGCGCATAGGCATATGCGGCTCCACTATTGAAGCCTCAGATTGAGGTCTTCGATCTTAGACACTCCTCGTGACAAAAGGATATGGGAAGACAAAAGACGACTCGTCTCGGACCTGAGACTT